TCCTGGAGGCCGTCTTCAAGGCTACCTTCCACAGGCCCTCACATCCACTCTAGTGTCCTTGGGGTTCAGTTATTCCCCCCTTCCAAAGGGGCAGTTCTTTCCATCCATCCATATTAGTGACTCTTCTCCCTTCTTTGGTTCCCAGAGCAGGTGTTATGGGCCGTAGGCAGTGTCCCCTCCATCACTGAGCAGTCCCAGCAGCTGTTGCCCAAAGCCTTGAAGGAAGAGGTTAGGGACTCAGGGCTTTTTCAATCTGCCCAACAGATTCTACGCGGCTTGGGCACTCCCTGTCCAGGTGACTGTCCAGCTCCATGGTACCTCTGTGTCTCAGGTTCTGCCCTCATCCTCTAGCTGACATTTCTTGGGGACTGACTATGCCAGGAATTGCAGGTACTGACGTGGTTACTGCTTGCGGAGGTCACAGGTCTGTTCTGCCAAATCCTCCTTCGAGGTTCTTTTGTAACATTTCATTTTCTGCTTTGTGGGCTGTGTCTGCCTAGGCCACTCATCTGCCTGTGTTTTCTTTACCATTTACATCTGCGAGATCCCATGTAGTTGCCCAGTTAGAGAGGGGCAGAAAGCCTCAGGTGCCTGATGGGGCACACCTGACTCCAGTCTGGTGAGAGAAGCCCAAAGAGAGCTTGGCCCTGCAAACAGGAGCTGGACAGAGTGTCACGTTAGGACTAGGTTCACATCATACTTCAAGCTGCTTTGCATGCACCAGTATTTTATTGCCAAGGCCCTTGGCAGTGCCTCACTTCTCCGTTTCCTTCCCCACTCTTGGCACTCTGCCCCCTTGCCATTTCTCCTGTGTCTTTCATCCCTTGGCTGATCCCACTTCTCTGGTCTCTGTGTCCCACTCATTCTCCTCTGCTCCCTTTGCAACATTGGCTGCTTTCATCTGTCATGAGTTGTGTACACATCCTTCAATAGTTCTTAAGAACCAGCTACTTCCTGGCAGTCAGATTTTCCCTGGCCTGGACACAGCTTTCTCCATAGAGCTCACCTGACACCAGCAGCCCATTTATAGAGGAGTGAGTTGGAGACCTCATTTCTACTCCCTGTACTGTACACCATCATTGTGTCTTTTCTCTCTTTAGAGTTCCTCTGTGCTGTGACCTTCGGAGGCCCAGAACTGATAATGGGCCCTTCCTCACCCCTACCGTGTTTCCCTCGTCCTGTCAACAAGCCAGTGGACTCATTACTTGGTGTATCCCACATACATAGGTGAGGGCTGCTGCTTCCCACCAAAGTCACCTGTCCTTCACTAGCATTTCTTTGCTTTCAGATTGTTGGCGTGAAGCAGACCATCAGGAAGTCCCTTCTGAGCAGCACACTTCTATAGGAGTGTCGCAGGTCAGGACTCCCAAGTCAGGCCCATTTACCCAGAAAGCCCACCCATGTGAGATGTGTGACTCATTCTTGAAAGACATTTTGCACCTGACCGAAGATCAAGGCTCACACCTTGTGCAGAAACTGTACACGTGTAGCCCGTGTGGGAGAGGATTCTCATTCTATGCAAGCTTTGACCAGCACCACAAGCGATATAGTGGAGGGAACCCCTTTGGTGGGGATGATGGCGGGGCCTCACTTGTGGAGAGCTGTGCAGTTGACATGTCGGGGAGACTGTTTACCTGCAGGGAGGGAGGCATGGACTTGTACAGCTCGGGCCTCTTTCAGCACCAGACCACTTGCTGTGGGGCAAGTCCATGCAAAAGGATGGAGTTCATGGAGTCTTTCCCACACAGCTCCAGCCTTGGGCAACACCAGGGGGACCATGATGGACTGATGCTTTTCAATTGCAGTGACAATAAGAAAACCTTTTTGGACACCTTTACTCTCCTTGACAGACAGATAACTCATACCGAAGGGAAATCTTTTAGATGCTTACCATGTGGAAATGTGTCTAAGGAAGAATTAGCTCTTATTCATCACAGAAAAATTCACAATGGAGAAACATCACATGTGTGTAAGGAGTGTGGAAAGACCTTTATTCACTTATCCCACCTAAAGATGCACCAGAAATTTCACACTGGGAAAAGACATTATACATGCAGTGAATGTGGCAAGGCCTTCAGCCGCAAAGACACACTTGTTCAGCACCAGAGAGTCCATACTGGAGAGAGGTCTTACGACTGCAGCGAATGTGGAAAAGCCTACAGCAGAAGCTCCCACCTTGTCCAGCACCAGAGAATTCACACCGGAGAAAGGCCTTATAAGTGTGGAGAATGTGGGAAGGCCTTCAGTCGTAAAGACACACTTGTTCAGCATCAGAGATTTCACACTGGAGAAAGGCCTTATGAGTGCAGTGAATGTGGGAAATTCTTTAGCCAAAGCTCCCACCTTATTGAGCATTGGAGGATTCACACTGGGGCAAGGCCTTACGAGTGCATTGAATGTGGGAAATTCTTTAGCCATAACTCCAGCCTCATTAAACATCGAAGAGTCCACACGGGAGCAAGGTCTTATGTATGCAGCAAATGTGGGAAGGCTTTCAGCTGCAAAGACACACTTGTCCAGCATCAGATAATTCACACCGGAGCGAGGCCTTATGAGTGCAGTGAATGTGGGAAGGCCTTCAGCCGTAAAGACACACTTGTGCAGCACCAGAAAATCCACACGGGAGAAAGGCCTTATGAGTGTGGTGAGTGTGGGAAATTCTTTAGTCACAGCTCTAACCTTATTGTGCACCAGAGAATCCACACTGGAGCAAAGCCTTACGAGTGTAGCGAATGTGGGAAATGCTTCAGCCACAACTCCAGCCTCATTCTACACCAGAGAGTTCACAGCGGAGCAAGGCCTTATGTGTGCAGCGAATGTGGAAAAGCCTACATTAGTAGCTCCCACCTTGTTCAACACAAGAAAGTTCACACTGGAGCAAGACCTTATGAGTGCAACGAATGTGGAAAGTTCTTTAGCCGCAACTCTAGCCTCATTTTACACCAGAGGGTTCACACTGGAGAAAAGCCGTATGTGTGCAGTGAATGTGGGAAGGCCTACAGCAGGAGCTCTCATCTTGTTCGGCATCAGAAAGTTCACACTGGAGAAAGGCCTCATGGATGCAACAGTTTTGGTGGCCCTTTAGCTGCATCTCTTAAACTTGTTTAGCTCCAGGAAGTTCACACTAAAGAACAGCCTTGTATATGTGGAAAATGTGCTCTCTCCTTGTTCAGCCTCAAGACTCAAACCAGAAGAAAGCTCTGTGAGTACCTTTTGTGAGGTAGTCAGCATGCAAACCCTGTACCTTCATGCCTCCATCCTGGGGAGAGTCCCAGTAAGTACTGTGTAGATGGGACACTTTCATGAGGTACGCTGCACTTTCTAAGCTGTCCTGGGCTCTTGACAGAGTTATATCAATGCCAATGCCCGTGACAGAAGCCATCTCATCACTGCCAGCTGTCAGTCACTGTAGTATGCTCAAGGAAGGCAGACACTTGCGCTCTCTCTGTCTTATATCCTCGAGGGAATCATAAGTGTTCTGTCCCTATTGAAGGGCCTCATTTCCTCCTCCATGACTGGGTTCTGCGTGGACATGATCTAGCTCTGGCTAGAAGGAAGACTTTCCTTCTTCATGGACAGTGTTGATAGTAAACATGAGAGCTGTGACTTATTTGTCCTGCTTCCAAATCAGCCATCTTTGGAACTGCTTGCCTCATGCTGCTCTGGTTTGTGCAGTGGTAAAGGCCTATTGTGGCAGTCTTTACTCTTTGGGGTGCTGTTCACTGTGTGGAATGGATTGAGAAAATATTGGGTTCTGCCAAGATGAAGGGAGGAACATCTTTTGTTGGCACCAACTTTATGTGCCAACATAAAGGGACAGAAAGATGGCAGAGAACAGATCTCAGTCTAGTTTGGCCAAATTTGCATTGTTGTTCAAGTCTTGCTAGAGAAGACTGAAGAGCTTTGTGTGCCTAATCTTAGGACCTGAAAATCAGGATTTCCTGTGAGTCCAGAGTTTATTCTGAGAAGGGCATAGTTGGTGTGAAAAACCTCCAATGCTTCTGGAAGCAACATGAATTGGGTCCCTCGTTCCTAAGGAATGTCTCATATTCCCCAGCACTTTGAGAGATTTCTGCTTCCTGGACCTATCCATGAGCCAGTTTCTGGTGTCCAGAATCCCATAGGCAGATGGCACTGACTAGAAATCCTGCAGGACAAAGTGGGAATCATAATTCATACAGAAACACTGAGATAATGGAATGGGGACCACTGTGGCCAATGAGAGGAGATATGTCTTTTCTGAAGGAGGCATCTACAAATGTCCCTGTAATTTTGGCTGTGTGGGATAAGAGGGTACAGAAATTCTCAGGACCTTTAGACATCTGTGTCTCCTGTGGTCAAGGCCACTGTCAGAGTAAGTAATCTAAAGATTTATGAATTCCATCTCCACTCAGGCAGGAACCCCATCACTGACAAAGGAGAGATCCAGGGATAGGGCTTCTCTGACCCAGCTAGCATTTCTCATGTATGAAGTGGAAATGGACTTCATTGCTCTCCAGTTTTTGCTAACTTTGAGGCAGAGATCGCCCTCCTAAATTGTGGGGAGAAGGATATCACAGAATCAAAATAATTGGCAGATATTGTGTTACAAGAAGGATGATAAATATGTATTTTTACAGGGAAGGTTTATTCTTAACAGTTTTATTGAGGTATGGTTGACATGAAATAAACTGCACATATGTAAACTGTAAATTGTGCTATGTTTCAGCATGTGTATATACCTGAGAAACTATCACCACAGTCAAAATAATGAATGTGTTCAACACAACCAAAAGATTCCTTGTGTCCCTTTATAATCTTATCCTCTCAGTCCTTCCTAAACCCCTTTTCCACAATTCACAAGCAACAGAAAGCATTTTCAAGAATTTCATGTAAACAGAATCATACGGTATATACTTTCTGGGGAGGGGGACTCTGGTCTTTTTTACTAACCATGACTATTTTGAGAATAATCCATCTTGTTGCATGTATCAATAGTTTGCTTATTTGTATTACTGAGTATTATTCCACTGTATGGATATACCACAATTTTTTTTATCCACTCAGCTACTATTAATGGATATTTGGGTTGTTTCCAGTTTTTGGTTATTGCAAATAAAGCTGCAGTTAAGATTTGAGTACAAGTTACACTGAATAACATTCCATTTTATGGATGCACCACAGTTTATCCATTCACCTACTGAAGGACATCTTGGTTGCTTCCGAGTTTCGCAATATACATTTTTGTGTAGGTTTTACATGCAATATACATTTTTGTGTAGGTTTTACATGGACATAAGTTTTCAAGTTGTTTGGGTTCAAGCCAAAGAGTGTGATTTGCTGGATCATCTAGTAAATGTATTTAGTTTTGTAAGAAACTGTTTTCCAAAGTGACTATACCATTTAGCATTCCCACCAGCAATGAATGAGATTTCATTCCTGTTGCTCCATGTCCTTCCAGCATTTGGTTGTCAGGGTTTTGGATTTTAGCCATTCAGATAGGTGCATGGGAGTATGTCATTGGTGCTTTAATTTGCAATTCCTTGATGCATATGCTGAATATCTTTTCATATTTTAACAGTGCCTTCTGCAGAACACAAGTTCTGAATTTTAATCAAGTCCAAATTACCCAGTTTTTCTTTTATGGATTGTCATTTTGGAGTATATAAAGAGTCATTGCCAAATACAAGGTCATCTACATTTTTTTCCTGTCATTTTCTAGGTATTTCAGAGTTTTGTGTTTTGCATTTAGGTCTATTATCACTTCTGAGAAAATATTTATGAAAAGTGTAAGATCTGGGTTTACGTCATTTTTTTAAACAGAATGTCCAGTAGTTCCAGCATCATTTGTTGAAAAGACAATCCTTTCTCCATTTAATTGTTTTTGCTGCTTTTTCAAAGATCAGTTGACTGTATAGGGATGAATCTATTTCTAGACTTTCTTCCAATTTTTCCATCTATTGAGATAATCGTTGTGTAGGTATGGGTTGTTTGTTTTTGTCTTTTATTCTATTTATGTGAGGTATCCCATTAATTGATACTCAGATGTTAAACTAACCATGCATTTCCTGGGACAAATCCCACTTGGTCGTGATATATAATTCTTTGTATATGTTTCTGACCTCATAGAATAAGTTGGGGAGTGTTTCCTTTATTTTCTGGAAGAGTTTTTGAGAGATTAATGATACTGCTTTTTTAAATGTTTACTAGAATCCCTTAGTGAGGGCACCTGAGCCTGGAATTTTCTTGTAGGAAGGTTTTCAATAAAATTTAATATATAACATAGATTTCTACTTATGTCAGTTTTTATAATTAGTGTCTTTCTAGGGATTTGTCCATTTTCAACTAAATTGTCTAATTTGGGGGATAAAGATTGTTTATAATATTCCCTTATGATATTTTTAATTTCTGTAGGGTGAGTAGTGTTTTCATTCCTGATTTTGCTAATTTGTTGTCTACTTTTGTCAGCCTACTTAAAGTTTTGTCAATTTTATTTATCTTCGGAAAGAATCAACTTTTTGTTCCATTGATTATTTTTAAAGTGTTTTTATGTTTTCTATTTCATTGAGTTTTGTTCTGATCTTTAATAGCTCCTGTCTTATCTTTGGGGCTAGTTTGGTATTATTTTCCTGGTTTCTTAACATAGAAGCTTAGGTTATTGGCATCTTCTTTTGTAATAGCTGGTTAAAGCTATATATTTCCTTCTAATCATTTAACTGTGTCACATTGATTTTTATAGATAGCATTTTTGTTTTTATCAGTTCAAAATATTTATGTATTTAAAATTTTCCTTGTAATTTCTCCTTTTACCCATAGAATATCTGATGGTGTGTGGTTTTGCCTAGGAACCTGGGGCTATCAGTGCTTGGCTGTCTTTCAGGACTGGAACCTGAAAGACTGGCTGAATTTTAGAAGTTTGAGACTATCAATGATTTGCTAGTTTTCAGAAGCCGAGTTACTGATGACTAAGTTGTTGACTAAGCTGGCTTTCAGATGTCATCCAAAGTTATCGCTAATAAATCTTAGTTTCTTGTTCATGACTTTGGAATTTGGCCAAAGTACAGTCTTTTCCTTTCCTGAATGTGAAAAAAATAAGCACTTAATTGTTAGTCCCTTCTTTTGTTCTTTAGTCAAATCTATAAAAGAGACCATATGGCATTATCCCAAAGGTTATGGTTATTTATGTGAATATGATTTTGAGCTAGCATTGCCACTAAGTTATTTAATTGCCAATTAAAATAGCTCTAACTACTGACATCTTGTAATGTATTGGAAAAAGCTAAATATGGGACATTTAGGGCATCTTGACAATGTCAATACAGGACAAAAGACATGTGCTGTGTACACAGAACAGTTGGCAGTCCTATGCCTGATGTGTGCCATGCACCTACTATTGTACCTGAAACCCCGTAGGTGCTCATTAAACATTTGTAGATCAGTAAATACAGAACAGTACAACTTTGCTATTCATGTTTACCTTTTTAAATATAGGTAAACATTACTTCTCCCTCTGAGCCGTTAATGTGCTATGTTTTCAAGTATTAAAAATAATCACATTTTGAGACCAAACCCTGAGTGTGGCCAGAGTTTCAGCAAGCTACAATCTGAGCTTCATTCTGATTTTTCGTACTGAGTGCCTCTTGCTTAAACTTGAGATGTTACCAACCCCTGACTTGTTACAGACTTATTTCTCTAGAACCATTTATGCTACTTTCCTTGAAAAACTACAGTCATTATTAATAACATTCAGTAATATCTATTTCACGATTTTCCAGAGATAACCTCAACTCCCTGTGCAGATACTGTTGCTACAATTACAGGTGAAATGATAAACCACTTCATAGCAAGGAGATGAGCTCATAGATACTGAAACCTTTATCTCAGGGATAAGATGCCCCCTTTACACACGTGGTCCAGCTGTCAGAAAAGCATGCACTGTCAGAAAGGCAGAAGATGGCATATAAGTCCCTCTTTTAGAGAGATTTCAGATTCTTAAATGAAATATATTTCAGATATGGAGTAATATTATCTGAATAATTGTTGATCAGGAACTGAAGATCCTGGAGAGAGAAGCTGCACACTGAATGACCTATCTACATTTTGGCAGGGACGTGTGGTTTTTAAAGATGTGGCCATACATTTCCCTCAGGAGGAGAGGGACCTCCTTGAGGAGTTTCAGAAAAGTCTGTACCACAGTGTGATGCTGGAGAACTTTGCACTTTTGTCATCACTTGGTAAGGCCCTCGCACTTAGCCCAGGGTCCTGGGCTGGACACTGTTCTTCCCCTTTTCCCTATGGGCAGCTGTGTTCTCCTTACAGCCAGACTTTGGGCACTACCACCTCTCCTGGTTTCCTGGTGTATGTGTTGTTGGTGCCCAGGCTGGGCTTAGCGGCCCCATCCCTGCTTCTTTGAGTACCTACAGAAAGGGCTCAGAAATCTTGAAGTCTGTCTAGGAGACCACTCCTACCTGGCCTGGCCCTGGTCGGCTCACTTTGTTCAAATACATGGACCCTTTGTGCCCAAGGCCTTCCCTCTTCTTGCTGACATTTTTTGGGGGCTGCTTGTGCCAGAAATTTCAGCCACCAGTGTGGTCACTACTTGTAGAAAACACTAGTTCTTTAAGACCCTCCTGTGAAATGTTCATGATTTGAGAATGTGGATTTCATGTGTTGGATCACTCTGGGACATGCCGGCCACTCTCTTTCCTTGTGTTTCATTTAGTTGGCCTTTCCCTGTTCCAGGTCCCTAGGAGATGCTCGCTTTGAGAAAGGGAGAAGGGCCTGGCTTTCTGACAAGATAGACATCACTCCATCAATGACAACAAGAAATGGCCCCGGTGGTTTCGAGCTAGGAAAGGGCATGTTATCAGAGCTGGGTTCCAGTCACACTGGGAGCCAGGCCTATGCCCATCCTTGTATGATACCAGGGACACTGGTCACACCTAATTTCTAGCTTTTTTTTCCTATTGCCGTTTCTAATCTTTTGGTTCCTGGCTCCCCACCACTTTTGGCTGGCTCTACCTTTCACCTATTCCCTTCCACTACTCCCTTTTCAGTGCTCTCAACATTTGAACTATACCTAAGGTTTTGTGACAGGTGTTGTGGCATCTGCACACATCCTTAAATAGCCCTTGAATACCAACTACCATGTCACAATCAGACATTTCTGGGTCTGGACACAATCTGCTACACAGTGTTCACCAGTCATCATCACTATGCCCTTGTTTAAAGCTACTTGCAGAAGAGTGGTTTGGAGACTCTGCCTCTCCTCCCTGCACTGCACCCATCCTTGGGGCCTTCCTCATCGTTAAGGGCCTCTCCCACCATAAGCTTCCCAGGCCCAGCTCTGCAAGCAGGCCTTTCTCTCATTGGCTCTCAGACCCCTTGCCTGTTAGCAGCCCCGTGGACTCATTCATGGTGTGTCTGACACTCATTTGTGATGGGGCTGCCCCATCCCACCAAAATCATTATGCTTTCACCAGCATGTCTCTACTTACAGGCACAGAGCCCAGGATGAGGAGGCACCTTCTGAGCAGGGTGATTCTATGGGAGAGTCACAGGTCAGGACTCCAAAGCCAGACCCATCCACGCAGAAGGCTGAGCCCTGTGAGACGTGTAGCTCTCTGTTGAAAGACATTTTGTTCCTGGCTGAGCAGGATGGAATGTACCCTGATCAAGACACGTATGCTTGCGGGAGAAAGCACTAGCAGCAAAAGCATCAGATTAGAGTGAAATTTTCCAGAAAGGACAAGGGGAGGCCTTCATTTGGGAAGAACTGCAGCGTCCACATGGCAGAGAGGACCTTGACGTGCAGGGAAGGTGGGAAGGACTTCCCAGCCAGCTCATGCCTTTTCCAGCAATATGCTCTTCACAGTGATTGGAAGCCACATGGAGACACTGAAGGAGGAGAGGCCTTTCAAAATGGGCAAAACGATTACAGGCGCACTCAGGATGGGAAAGCCTTCAGCCATAATCCTATTCTTGTTGACCATGAGAAAATCCATACTGCAGAAAAGCCTTATGAGTAAAGAGAACGTGGTGTAAGGCCTCCCTTAGAAACTCCCACCTTGATCAGCACCAGAAAGTCCACAGTGAAGCCAGGCTTTATGGGCACCCTGAATATGGAGTATTCTTACCCAGATACCGGGCCTCGGTGACCACCAGAAAATTCACACCAGGCCAAGGCCTTTTGCATGCACCTGCTGTGGGAAGGCCTTCCTTCGTCTGTCCCAACTCTTTGCTCACCAGAAAGTCCACTCGAGAAAGACCTTATGGTTGCAATGATTGTGGGAAATTATTTAGGAACCGCTCCACAGTCGTTTGACACCAGAGAGTTCACACTGGGGAGCTGCTTGATAAGTGCAGCAAATGTGGGAAAGCCTTCACTCAGAAACATAAACTTGTCAAGCACCAGAAAATCCACAGTAGAGAAAGGGCTTATGAGTGCAGCGGATGTGGGAAATTCTGGATGGCTCCATGCTTGTTATTCATCAGAGAATTCACACTGGAGAAAGGTCTTATAAGTGCAGCAGTGTAGGAAATTATTTAATTGCTGCTGCACACTCCTTAGACATTGGACAAAAAGGCCTTATGAGCACAAGTAAGGTAGGAAATTTTTGTGGTACAACTACAGACTCATTACACACCAGCCAGTTTATGTTGCTGTGACATGAGAACAGCAAATATGGGAATGACTGCATACAACTCTGGCCTCATTAAACATTGTTGAGTTTGTGCTTGAGAAATGTCTTCTGAGAGCAGTGAATGTTGGAGCATCTTTGGTCAAAACTCCTGTCCATTTGGCTCCAAAAAGTTCACACCAGAGAAAGAACTTATGGGTGCAGCAAATGAAGAAAGACTTCAGCCAAAGGCTGCTCTGATTGGCACTGTCAAGTACTGTTATGTACTTATGGGTTTTTTTCTTTTTATTGTGTTAAAATACACATGCAAAAAAAATTTGCCACTTTAAGTATTTTAGTGTGCAGTCCAGTACTGCTAAGTACATTCACATTGCTGTGCAATGAATATCCAGAACTTTCTTCATCTTGCATAGGTGAAATTGTGCCCATTATTCAACAATGCTGATTCCTCTCTTCCTCCAGCCCCAGCAGCCTCCATGCTTCTCTCTTTGAATTTGGGCACCCATGCTGCCTCACATCAGAGGAATCATACAGATTTTGTCTTTTTATAAGTAACTTACTTCACTTACTGTAATCTCAAGTTTCATCTAATATGTGGCGTGTTTCAGGATTCTTCCTTTTTAAAGTCGAACAGTACTCCATTTTATGTGTATAGCACATTTACTTTCTCCATTCATTCACCTGTTGATGGACACTTACCTTGTTTCCACGTTTTGGCTGTTAAGAGGCTGCTGTGAGGATGTCTGCACAAATACCTCCTCGAGATCCTGCTTTCCATTCTTTTGGGTATATAGCCAGAAGTAGAATTGGTGGAACATATGGTAATTCTGTGTTTCGTGTTTTCAAGAACTGAGGAACTGTTTTCTATATCAACTGTACCATTTTACATTCCCATTAAAGGTCCAAAAGTGTTCCAGTATCTCCACATCCTCCTCAGCATAATTTTATTTTCTGTTTCATGTTTAATAGCAGGTGTCCTAATGGATGTGAGGTAGTATTTCATTGTGATTCTATTTAGTATTTCCCTAATGATTAATGATCATGTACTTCTTGGCCATTTGTGTGTATATTCTTTGTGGAAATGTCTAAATGTGCCTATTTTTTAATCAGGTTATTTTATTGTTGAGTTGTAGCAGTTTTTATATAATCTAGTTAGTAACCACTTATTGAATACATGATTTGCACATTTTCTTGGCATTTGATAGGTTGCTTGTTCACTCTGTTGATTGTGTCCTTTGATGCACAGAAGATTGTAATTTGATGTAGTCCAATTTAGCTATTTTTGTTTTTATTTCCTGTGCTTTTTGTGTCAATGCCATGAAGTTACTTCCAAATCCAAGGTTACAAGATTTTTCCCTGTGTTTTCATCTAAAAATTTTATGGGTTTACGTCTTACTGTTGGGTGTTTGATCCATTTTGAGCTCATTTTGTGTATGGTTTAAGGTAAGGGTCCAACTTCATTCCTGTGAATGCAGGTACCCACTTTCCACAGCACTAGTTGTTGAAAAGACTGCCCTTCCTCCGTTAAATTGTCTTGGCACTCTTATCAATTATTTAATCAAATATTTTGGCTTTTGTTTCTGGGACCTCTGTTCTATTTCATTGGCCCATGTTTGTCTTTATGCCAGTACCACAGTGTTTTGATATATAGTTTTATGAAAATACTGTCTTGCTCCAGTTTTGAGTCCCTGGCTTGATGCTGGTCATTTCCCTTTTTGTAGTAGCTCATTAAGTCCACATCCCAACCACTGTTCTTAACAGGCATTCACACTCTGGACTGCTATACAACACCCTTGAAGTCCCAGAGCCAGATACCAGGCAACCTGCTGTGCAGCCCTGCCTGATGCCTGTCTTTCCAAGCCCAAATTATCTATCCAAGTGTCATTGTGTTTTGTCTCACCATCAAGGATCTTTACATCATATAAAACAGCTATAAGATTATTATAAGAGTCATCATTTGGTAAGGTCCTCACCTACTCCACTGTCCTGGGCTGGGCATTAGTTTTATCCTTTTCCGCCAGGGCGTATCTGGGTTTACCACGTCTAGACCATGGGTGCTATTTTCTCTCCTGGAATATTTGTTGGGGTGCCAGGGCTGGGCTGTGTGCACTGTACTGCGTGTCCCCAAGCACCCCATCCTCTGTTGCTCTGAAGCCTTGTAAGATATGGCTCAAGAGTCAGAAGTTTCAAAGTTTGTCCAAGAGATCCCAGTGGCATGTGCTGTCCCTCATCAGTTCAAGTTCCCTGCAGCCTGTGTGGCCAAACAAAATGAATACTAAGACAGCAGTACCATGGAGTAGCATGGCTGTACTTTCAATACCCTGGAAATAAGAGGCCAGGCACACAACAGAGGTCTGCATGAAACCATGTCACCTACAGGAAGGAGCAGGTGAGGGAGGAACTGGGATTATGCCTTTATGACTAAAGTGGCCAGGAGTGCTATGTAGGTGGGGATGTCTCCTGTTATGCAGGAAGTGAAAACACATGTTAGGGTTTGTTTTTAGGGTGTTTGTAGTATGAGTTTTGCAAGCCCGTGAAAGCTGATTTGCACATCTTTGACTGTTTGGCCTTGTGATAAATGAGTGCTAAAAAGACAGACACAGAATATTAGAAAACAGAACAGCTTGGTATCCACAGAGCAACTGGCACCTGCTATTATGTCTGAAACCTAGCAGGTGCTCACCGAACATTTCTTAGATCAATGAATATAACAGTGCAGCTTCTCTATTCATTTTTACTTTTCTGTCAAGTCTTTCAAATACTGCCTGTATCACTCCAAGATTGTGGCCCAGGTTCCAGCACAGCTACAGGCTCTTCTTGATTCTCTGGCTTTTCAGAATTAACTCTCTTGCTTAAATTTCACTGAGATCTTAACTTTTTCCTTTTTTTTTTTCACATGTCATAGGTATGCTTCCCTAGAATTATTTCTGCTACTTTCTTTGAACAACTACATAATTATTATTACCTTGTGATAATTTCCATTCGCAGTATGTATGTATGTATGTGTGTATGTGTGTGTATATATATACATACATACATATATATATATATATATATGTATATATACATATATATATGTATATATATACACCTTTTTTTTAACGAATAATCTTGACTCCCTGTGAAGATACTGCTGCTGCAATTTCAGGTGAAATGAAAAATCACTTCCCAGCAAGAAGATGAGATCATGGAATCCACAGCTTTGTCTGGAGGACAAGATGCTCCCTTTGTACACGTGAGCACACATTGTCTCAGAAGATAGCATGTGATAAGTCATATTCTTTTCAGATGGGTTTCAGATTCTTAAAAGAATTGAAAAATGTCTCAGAAATGGAGGAGTAGTATATAAAGACATGTGTTGCTTACTGGGTTCAAACAATCACCAACTATACAGCCAGGAAGTATGTTTTCTGTGGGAACCAGAAGCGCAGCTTCACCCTTTCTATCTACTCCTGTGCCTCCTGTCATCCCACCCACATCTCCCCCACCATTCTTGTCCTGAGCCAAATATTGAAAGCTCATTAAACAGCTCTCAGAGCATCAGTCAATGTGTATTTGAAAAGCGACAAGATACCTGACAGCTATGAGTAGATGTGTAGTGTCATGATATGCTGGTCCTTTTTGATGTGTAGGCCTTTGGGAACTTGCTGTGCTTCACAGTCTGATATAATAGGTTCCTAATCTTTCTGTGACATCCTACACTCCAAGAAATCTGAGTACATCCCCTTTAAGAGAAGCAAAACACCCCCTTCTTCTTGGAGCGGTGGAACTCCATTTCTCAGCGCCCTTGAAGATATCACTTTTATCGGCCACTGCAGAGTGACTCTGGGAGAGGATAGGTGTGCCGCATGTAGTGGAAACTACAATACCCAGAATTCTCTACGGCGCGCGGTGGTTGCGGCGGCGGCGACTGAGCCAATAAGAGCTTGAGAGAGGGGCGCGTACTGTGTGCCCATAAGGAGGCGGGACTTCCGGCGTCCCTTACGGTTGTCATTTTGGTCTCTAGAGCTCACGGGTTCTGCGCTTCAGGAGCACTTGGCGGGCGTCGAGGTTAGGGGGCGGGAAAGCCGGAGGTGAGACGTCGTCTCCGCTGCACCGAGGCGGCTGTGAGGCCCGTCTAAGCTCGTTGGTAACCGCGGCGCCCTGTTCCTGCCCTGTAGCCCAGCTTCGACCCCATTAGTCCCAAAGGTCGGTGGCAGGGGCCGCGCCGATGAGCCCGACTGAGGTGGGTGCTGCGTCCCCCCGGCCTCACCCGGCCCAGCTCTCACAACCGAGCGCGGAGCCCGGATGAGAGGCACCCGCTAGGTTCCATGCAATCAGGCCCCCGTGTCCAGAGCGGAGGGCGTGTCATGTGGGACCCCAGAGTCCGCACTGTGATGAGGTGAGAGCGTTCCCTCAGGGGCGGCCTGTGCACAGGTTGCAGGTACTGGTGAGTCGACAGTACTGGAAGAATCTGGGGTCTCCGTCTCCAGGCAACGGGTCGAGGAGTGTCGCCTGGAATGAGTAGTTGGCAGCCATGGAAGGTTGTGAAGTGACGGCTGTGGGGAGGGGCATGCCCAGAGCTAGAAGTGTAAAGTCAGTAAAAATAAGATGGGGAATGGAGACCGGTGAGGTCACCAAAGTCGACCCCAGGGGAATGATAGTGGGGGCTGGACCAGGGTGGTGGCGGTTAGAGAGGAAATGTGATGAGATTCTGGAAAATCTGTAGAGCAGGCTGGGTTTCCTGTTGCATAAAATATGCTTGCAGGTAAAAGTAAGGAGTGAACCACCATCCCAAGTATTTTTGCCTGAATTTTTGAAAGTATGGAGATGGCGATGTCAACGCAAGGAGCAGGTTTCAGATCATAAGTTGGATTTTGGACATGTTGATCCTGAGATTATCAAGATAGAGATGTCACGACATGGAGATACCGTATGTATAGGCGAACAGAAAGGTTTGGAAGCTAAGGAAGGGGGCAGGATTGGAGACATCAAAAAAGTGAGTGTGGGCTGAGCCAGGGCACGACCTGGGGATCAGATTGAGGAGGGTGAGTCAAATTGTTATTTCAGATGGGCCCTCTAATGAGGAAGGGGAGGCCATGGGGAGCAGGTGTTGGCATCCCCTCTGCTCCCTCCAGAAAGAGCAGACCTGACATAGGAGGTATACAAGATGCCAGCCTGTAGAAATGGAGTCTGCAGTGTGTGCTTGTGTAGATTCTCCACTTTCAGGTTCCGCCAACTGCTGGGGCCACTCCCTATGGAACAAGGGAAACATCAGCCAGGCTGGTGGAGCTGCCAGGTTCTAGACTAGGGCACTGCTGCCTTTCCTTCACCTGTCAGGGCAAGAGGGGTGATGCACTGCTTCAGTCAAGAGGCCCCAATAAGCTCCCTTTTGAAGATTGTATTGCAGGCAGATTTGGTTGCTGAATGGACTAGTAGCTGACTTGCCTGCTCATTACCTCCCTGCAATTCATTAACTTAAGATTGTATGAAAAGTTTATTGATTTAAACACTAACTAACCAATATCTCTCTAAATAGGAGCACAGAGATAGGCTATTAGAAATGAACCTATTCAATTAAGTTCAATTGATGCAAACACTTCATAATTGGTTTGGCATTGATTTACTTCTAAGTATTTGCTTACAATGTAGTTTTAGATATGATATCCTCTGAATCCTTAAAAAGTAGTAAAAATACATACTCAAACTTTCAAAACCCTACCACTTCATTTGTACTGAGAAAACATAGAAACTGTTGATCATGTGGACAATAATAGCTGTTAAATAGTATATATGCCTTACATTTGATACCAGTATGACCCCTATGAAATTAGAAGCATTCTTACTGCTTCTCCAGGTCACCCAGCTGGTAAGAAGCAGCTCTGTTTTCTGAGGCACTGAGCTTAGATCTTCAGGCTCAGATCACTTTGCTCCAGCGGTGGTGGTCCAACGCAACCTATACAATCTTTGCATGGTTACCCATTTCCCATACCCTCCTTCTTCCCACAGGGTCCCATGGCAGTGGCAGAAGTGCTTATGGACTCTGTACAGGTGAGTGGAGGATATGCCACCTTTCATCCATCCCAATTATCACCCCAATGGTTTTGACACCCCCCCCCTTATATATATATACACACACATACATAATATACACATATATACACACACACACGAGCACACACATGCACACACACATATA